CTATTAGCATTTCAATGCATATATCCCATCAATTGCAAAAATTCCCTGGTGGACTCTGATCAAAGTGGGGCCTTACCAATTTTTCATACAAAGACATATAAACAATCTAAATATTTTAAATCAGGAAGTGCCAGAGATAAGTGGATATACTAGTTAGCATAGTTGCCTTGCGGCTGAGACCCTGAGCTTGATTACTACCAGAAAGGACATCTGCGTGAAATTTGTATGTTTTTTCCCCAATTAATGTTGGTTTCCACCTGGTGTTCTGATATCTTCTTATAAGTTACACTAGTAGATTAATTACAGTATGACCAAATTAGGGCTAGGGTGCTCATGCATGTCCTTGTGTTACTATAGTAGGCTAAATAGATTGTGAGGTTGAGAGGACTGTCGTGAATGGTTCTTTGCACTCTGTAAGTGTAGTATAATATCTATACAGAAAATATAGATTATGCTACAAATAAATGTATACATTTTACATTTTATACAACTTTTAGGTACAGTTATTGTGTAAATGTTTATGTTGTGTAGCACTGACGCCCAAAGGAGCTGCTTGAAATGTTGGGCCCTTTTACCGTTTCCAGATCCGGCCTGTATCTGGACTCAGCAATACAGTGACACAACAACAGTGATATAACTTGCCTTTGATAATTGGACAACAATAAACGCAACAGTTCAATAACAGCGGAATTGTGCAACAATTTACAGTATAAGTACTGTGGTTTGCTACTTACCGATGGTGGAAGGCCTCTCAAACACACTTGGTGAGGGGAGAACAACACTGCAGATAGCATAAACAACAATTAAAGCAAACAACAAAATGAACTCTTATATACAGTATTTTATGTGTAGATGTCCCAAAGCAACCAAGGATATAAACTAGAATTCTTCCTTTGGAATTTCAGGGTTTAAATTGTTACCAATTATTTTCTCAAAAAGTTTGTATGACAACATCTATTGAGTCAGCATGGTAATAATCATACTCAGAAAAGCATCCATTGTCAAGCAGGTTGAACATGAGTTCAACTTGAAACAAGGCTGTTCACAGTTAAAAATTATGTTTATACAATACAACCTGTCATGCCCAACGATCGCAGATGACATATGACAGATTCCTGCCAGCTATTTCATGTACAGAAGCCAGTTGGGATCTGTCATTGTAATAACCATATTTAGTCAATGACGATACCCAGGATCCCTGGCCTGTTTGTGTACAAGTACAAGCTGGCTGGGATCTTTCATTCATTGGCGGTAGTGCTACCACCAGTAAATCACAGATCCTCTGATGTTTTGACAAACAATGGCCAGCAAGGATCTGTCATCAAGTGGTGGTAGTGCCCTCAGCTGCTGTTTGTAAAATGTTTAAAGCTACATGCCTTTTTCCAGTGCTGATCTGCTTGTTACCTGGGCCAACAATACACTGACATACCAATAGTATTCAGTATTTAGGCTGAAATAAGCCCCTTAGTTGAAGCACTGGTTAAGGAGATTTGTCAATGGCAAGGTTAAAAATCTATCAACCACTCTAATTAGAAAAAAAACAGTAAATACAGTCAATAACGTTTGATCCCCTTATTTACCTGTGAATGGCCCTGATATGATGCACTAGGCGAATGAGAGAGAAACAACCCTAATGTCAGCAATGACAACAATTACAGATGTAAATATCCATAGAACATAAAACGTAGTGGTTACCAATGTGGTCTGTCTACTCTACCCAGGCCCAATATAAACACTGGCAAGTGGAATTATGTATGTATAGTCTGCCAGCAGTAATGCCCTTTAACTTGGTATGGGAATGTGGGAGACCCTTACAAAGTATTCTAAGTAGCTGAAGCTAAAGAGATGAATAGGTCCCTTTTAAATAGAGTTTCTCTGGCAGCAGCAAGATCCCTGCAATAGTAGACAGGAATAACATACACACAGAAGTGGCCAAAACCTGCTCACCATTCAGATGCACGTCCAATATCCTCCTCATAGCAGTCTGTCTTCTGATTCTGTTTCTTGCAGTCTAAATGAAAGTACATGGAAATCAAGCCGATCCATCTCCTTTGTTGTGATGGAGGGGGGCGAGAGGTAGGCCACACTGTGTCTCCACCCAAATAACTACTGAAAGGGGTCAGCGGGTGGTACAAGGCATATGTACTCTCTCTCACTTTAGCCAGTGTCTGGTGTCCTCACTTGACACACAGCCCTGGTGTGTTGCACTCCATCTCTCCACACAGCTGGTACCCTGACCTGCTTTCCAAGACTCTCATTGCCTGGGGATACTCTTCTCTCCACACTCTTCCCTGGGTCTGGTGGGTGGGGCTTAACTTCCTGGCCACTAATGCAGCCAGTCAAGGTCCTCCTCTCTCTGCTCTTCTCTGTGGCCTAGCAGTTAATGGCCAGGGGAGAGAAAAAAGCTGTGGTTGTAAGAATGACTGGGTGTTCGGCTAGAGCTACACATTGCCCCCACTGAAGGTTTTTGGTTCCCAAAGAAGCACAATTTGTAGTTTACAAACTGAAACTGTAAACATATTTAGTAACCAAAATGATCTTGTAAATGTTCCTTACACAAGATAGGGGCAGAGGGAATACTGTGTCAGATATAAGGTTGGAGGTATCAGAAACTCAAGACTGTGGTACAATTTCTTTCTCACCTTCCAGAGTGGTTTTCAGCAGCAGATGAAGTAGCAACAGGGCAATTTGACTGCCACAGCCATCAGGCCCAGATTTGCCACAAGGCCACCGAGGCCCGGCCACGGGGAGGCAGAGCGCAGAGGGGCTGCAGCGGTGACCTTGTGGGGAAGTTGCGGGCACTGGTGTAAGGTGTTTTATCCTCCTGTTGGCGGGGAAGGGGGGGGGGGCCTTGCTGAGACCTAGTGACCAGAGCTCGTCCCATCAACGTAGATACCAAAGGCCAGATCCACTGGTAACTAGCTTTCTCTTCCGAACATATGCATGTAAGATAAATACCCTGCTACATCATGCGTTGTATTATTGAAGGCATGGACCACTGCTAGTATTTCCCTAATCCAGTGTTGTTCCTTTGCAGACGTGAGTCTCACCACTATGTTAAGATGGGTTAAGTTTAACCACTCAGGTTTTGGATCTTCTTGAGGTTGGTAAGGAATAGTTCCTGAATTTGTTACCCCCTGCATGCCTAATAGCCCTTTAATTAGTTTGCTCTACAAGACTCTGCTCTAGTCTGAGTGAATCTCCTGCAGAAGTCCATAATAGGAAAGAGCTTTTCTACTACAACTTTGGATATGGTAGAAGCTCTATGATCTTTCATTGGGAAAGCTTGTGCATATTGGGTAAAGTGATCAGTCACTACCAGTATATTACTTTATACGCTTGTATGGGGCTTCAAGCACAGGAAATCAATGCACACCTACTCAATTGGATCTTGGCTCTGTTGGTGGTTCATTGGGGTGGCCCTGGTGGGTAATGCCTTCTACTGTATACACTGTAAACACAGTGTTAGTAGCTCTCCACCTCTGCTCTCTTGAAAGACCAGTAGAACCAACCTCTGACTAGGTTGAAATACCTCCCTGGTGCCAGATATTCATCATGTCATGCTGCTAGTACTTTACTCCTGTGTTTTTAAGAAAGGAACAGTTGCCAGTTTTCCTCCACATCATCATTAGGGGCTCTACTGTAAATCAATCCATTGTGACGTTGCTGCCAATTCCACTACTTATGAATTAACTTTGCTCCCTCTGAAGATTCAGTTAGCAGAAGCTTTGACCAGTAACATTCAAGAGCTTCCAAAGTTAGGAATCAGAGGGGATCTTCTGATTGATCGCTTCTTGCGTCTTTCCTATTAAGGGTGGTTGGGTCTCAATCTTCCACTAGGTGCAGGTTGCAATAGAGCTTAAGGACTTCTATAGCAGTAACTCCAATTGTGTCCTTTTGCTTCAAAGGCTCAATGCTTGACTCTCTTACACATAGCTTGGATTCCCTCCGGCATCAGTTAAGTCCATTCTACTACTGTAGCTTCAGCATTTTTTGGCCTTTGGGACAGGGCATCAATATCTCTGTTCCCAAATCCTGGTTGATACTACAAGAGAAATCTAGTCACAGCTGCCAACCAGCAATGCCCTCCAGCTTTTGACTGACAGTTGTGTGAATGTAAGTGAGTGAATTGTGGTCCGTCATGACTTTGAACTCTACCCCATACAAGCAGTCTTTCCTCTTGTGACTACCATTCACAGAGGCAACAGGTCTTAGATTATCCTCATGTTCTTTTTAGAAAAAAATAAGATAATTTTGAAATTGATGGCAGCAACATGTCTCAAAAAAGTTGGGACAGGCCAAGAAAAACCTGGCAAAGTAAGAGGAACTAACAAGGAAGAGATGGAAGAA